ATGTTATGAAATACACCTATTATAGTTGAATCATTAGTGAAATGTGTTTTATTTGGATTACTCTGGAATGTCATACTCATATATTTGGATGACATAAACCTACATGAAAAGACCTTCGATAATGCTTGCGATGGGCTAAGAATGGTAATGGGTCGACTGAGAAAAAACATCAGGCTGAATTTCAGGAGGCATGAATTGTATTATCAACATGCGAGTTTCTTGAACCACATAGACAATGAAGAGGAAAAGTCTACAAACCCAACCAAGACTGAACCAATTCACGTTTGCCCAACATTACAGAATTTGTGTAAAATAAGAGGATTTCTGGGACTGTGCTCTTACTATTACAATTTTGTAAAATATTTTTCTGATATAGATAATTTTCTTTACAAAATACTGTAAACCTCAAACAGCTTCTTTTGGACTATTGATTGCGAATAAGCTTAAGATAGAACTAGCCTCTACCCCTGTGTTAGCATATCCAGTGGAATCAGTATTAACATACGTACAACACAAAAACAACATATGATCATCTGCTATAGCAAAGTAGAGAATACCACAGAAAAAAGTCTGAAAGACCTACTAAGTGTCGTTTGTGTCCTAAGTAATTTCTATTACTATCCCTACGACAAAAGCCCAAACTCTAGATAGATAATGAAAGACAGAGTACAACTTCAGGAGTACGACATTAACATTATGCATTACCTTGGATGGAACCAAGGAAATGTTGATGTACTTTTTTATCAGGAAAAAGAAACTCTAATAAAGAATTTAGTTCAAGATTTATAGTGCCCATTGAGCTCCACTCAGATTAGGGATGGAAATTTTAGTCATCCCTTTGACAATGTGTAAGCTACTTGAAATAAAAAAGGATCAGGATGAAAGCTTTTTATTTTTTCTCTGGTGACATATTACAGAATTACAAGCATTTACTTTTAAATCAATTAGTTATTTATGTGAAGGAAAATCAGAAGACATGTGATCAAGATGTTCCACTTCTACTCATGCGTTACTTAAGCTACAGGCAATATAATAGCATCACTAGTATCTTGAATACAACTGGAACTGCCATTGTTCTGTACTCATACTCCACCCTGTGAGCCATCACTCAGTAGAGTTCTACACAACTTATGCACCGAGATTAAGAAAGAACGTTGATACCATACACAATTTTATTTAAGAAAGACTTGAATCAGCTATTGATAAGATGAAGAGTCACTATGATTTAAATGTTGATAAGACTGGATTTCATCATAGTGACATGACATGGCTTTACAATCTACGTCGCATGAGACGAATAACTCCAAATTTAAATGGTTGCTGGAGAAAACCTTCTGCTGTACTAAAATAATCAATAATGTGATGTATAGAATCCCGAAGGACAGAACGTCTAAGCCAAAGGTCATCCATCATGATCGCCTTTGGAAGTACGTCGGTGAGAAAACAGATAACCAGATAATAACTGGTCAACTTCAACAAAGACCTGCATAAGAGCTCGACATTCCTGTCGAGGCCACTTCCAGAGTATCACCATAGAGTGAGTCACCAGTAGATTCCCTCGAACACATAACTCCGTCAGTGACAAGCCACCAAGTGTTGAAAAAGGGGGAAAGGCCATCCAACTTTCACACCATAAACCATGGAAAAGAAAAACCATCAAAAATATTTGGTCATTTAATTAGAGACAGTAAATGAATAAAAAAGATATTGATTTGTTAATAAAAATTCTGATTGTTCTTTGTTTCAAACAATTAATGATTTAATTATTGTAACATCTATATTGATGATGTTGTTAATTAATACTTATGATTAAATTGTTAAGAGTTACTTTATTCTTAACTATGGAACTTTCATGCGCTATTGTTTTTGTTTGTTGGATTTGCACAAAGCGACACGAATGGTATCGACGTTAGCTGTCCCCAGTTTTGAAGTGATAATGCAGCTAAGTATCACTACCTACCGCCAACTCTTGTTAGACAGAATAGTAGGATTTTAACATAACTCATCCACAGGTAAGTAAAATATATAATGTTTGTGTGTTTTTGATAAACATAAAAATATACAATGGACTGTTTACACTCAAACCACGCGGGTATTGTATCCTAATTTGTAGAGTTATAATCCCTCGTACTTATCGTTGAGTTAGTGGGGGCTAATCTACATTGAAGTGGTATTCACTTGTGAAGCTAGGCCCACAGTTAGTTACGTGGAACTTTTAAAATATGAATTTGTGGAACCTGTAAGGTGAAAAATATAATGCTTCTTTAAGAGATATGGACTTTGTGGTTTTATTTTTTTTACCGAATAATCCAGAAAGAACCTACCCAAAAGCATAAACCATTACAACATGTTTGAATACGAACTGTACAAAAAAGAAAAAGTAGGCGTGAAAGCTTTCTTTCTTTTAGTCTTATTTATTTCTAAACTTCGAATAAAAAACAAAAGATAGAATGAAATTTTGTTCATGTCAGAAGAAAAATGCAGAATGTGGTGCAAAAGTCCATGCTTTTCCCAATTTTTGTGTGTATTGATCGCAAGTGTGTAAGCGATATCTATGCTTAGCCGTCCTTGAACAAGTAAAAGCCATTTGTTTTCTTCGCTAAGCTACCTTTCAAATGTATAGTTTACCAACCTCTCACCAACTTCACTTTACTCTGCACACGCTCCCACCGCAAGGAACTTGACCCATTCTTGGGTCTCAGCCTAGACACAGGGTCTAGGTTGTAGTAATGCGATTTTGCTTCTTCTATTTCTTGAAGTTGCTTTTATTTTGATACTCATAGTACGTCGCTGCAAGACTTAATGATTTAATATGCTAAATATACTAAAATAATTAAAAAGCATTTAGATATAGACATAGCACCAAGGTAAGTTTTCTACTGTAAATATTTTGGAAATTTGTTTAGAACATAAAAAAAAAATGACGATTATCAACTACAAATATGTCAATAGCATTTGTGAATGTCGGTGTGTAGGTAAAGTGCACCACGTGGTCATTTCAATATTATCAGAAATAATATTTTTTCTGATGTTAAATAATTAATTAAGGATGTTATAACTATGACGGTGATGACGTTGTTTTTTTTTTAAACGTTATTTGATTTCTTAAGAGTGGCAGCACCCATAAAATCAGAAAATATTTCATGTCGGTCTATTGCAACCGCTAGAAAGTATGTTACACTCGAGTATCATACCTTCGTTAGTTTATTGTCTTACAACGCTAAAGTCCTGGGTTCGATTCCCTGTGTCGGACAGATCGAGGATAGCCAGCTGTGTAGCTTTGCGCCAAGACAAACAAAATTGTGCTATCACTAATCAGAACATATCAGGAGCGAGTATGCTGCTTATTGTAAAAAAGCTTCATACGAGTTCGTGCTACCATCTTTTCTCACCTGTTAATAGCCTTGCACAATGTTTACAAAATGTAGAATTATAATGCTGCTATCTTCAATGACCAAGGCTCTTGTCACAAAGTGAAATTATCTTTTACTTGGAAAAAAACACTAGAACTATTTTAGAACCTTAATATAACCGGATTATTTTACCCAGTACTAATCAATATCAGAATTTACTGATGAAAAAATTACTCTTTGAGTTGAATGACTTTGTTTTGGTTTGGTTTGTTTTAAATTTCATGCAAAGCTACACGAGGGCTGTCTGCACTAGCCGTCCCTAATTTAGCAGTGAAAGACTAGAGGGAAGGCAGCTGATCATCACCACCTATAACCAACTTTTGGGCTATTCTTTTACCAACAAATAGTAGGATTGATCGTAACATTATAACGCCCCCACATCTGAAAGAGCGAGTATGTTTGGTGAGACGATTTGAATGAAATGCGGAAGAAAATCGATAAAAAATGGAAAGAAGGATGGTCATCAATAGAAACAAAATTCGCAAATTGTTCTGTAAAATTAATTTTTTTCTGGTTTACCTATTTGACTTTTCTCGTAGTATCCAAATGAAATTATTACTTTCATTATTTATTGCTTAGAAACATATTTTTAATTTTCACCTCTAAGTTTAATACTTTAAAAACAAATTATACCCCCTTTTCTAATAGGATTAGGGAAAGAAGGTAAATTATGACAGTTTTAAAAGAGGTTTTATTAAATTGCGCCACATGAATGTCTCGCCATTTAGCGGCAAAACAACGAGATAGAGTATCAACTTATTAAGAAATATTCTGTTTCAGAAATATAGCCATCGTTCTTGAAAATTGATATTTGAAATACACATCTTTTGGGATTACAGAGACAGAAGATAATGGATTGATATTACAGAAAGACAAGATTTTTAATTGTTTAGGCCCAGTGGATAATCTTAAGCGTAACAATACAAATTGTTGATCATTTTTTGTTGACCCTGAAACTGCAACATCACACCTCGAACGCCGGACCCTTTAACACGTTAATCTCTAAGCCACACCTGAACCTTAAAATATACGAGTTATAAAGAAGAATGTTTCTAAATAGCTAGAAAGAAACGGGTGGAAACAATAATATACTTTTAACGATTTGAAAGGCTAGAGTGAAAACGAAGTTTGTTTCTAAATCCATTAGAAAAATATAACTTTTTTTGCAAGTGTTGAAGAGGTAGGATTGAGAACGAGGAGTTTGTTTTTAAACGAATGGAGATAAAGGAGTGGAAAGAAAGATACTATAATGACATAAAAACAGAGACAGCAGTGCAAACACTTTTATAAATACTTATTTTCTTACAAAATATTGAAGTGAAGTCTGAATTTATCATCTTGCTTGATTAAAATATAATAGCTGTAGAAATATTTAAAAACTCTAACACATATTTATTAATGCTTTTGTTTGTTCGTCTTACTTGTGGTTAAGGATAAACCTACTCAATGGATTATCTCTGCTGTTTCTACCACGGGTATCGAAACCCGGTTTTTAGCGTTATAAACCTTCAGACTTTTTTCTTAATGAGAATTTTTTATATTTTGTACAATTCTCTGACATAAACTGATAAAACAAACACCAAATGCTCAACCATAATCGTCAAGTTTATTTATCACATAGAAAGCTTTTAAGGCTCACTGACATCGCTGTACACAAGATATAAACACACATGTACATACAAGCTAAATTTCGAACTGTACAAAACAATTCCATACAAGCTCAGATATCTCGAAATGTTTGTTTACTATTTTGCAGTTATTACGCTAAAGAGCTAAGATTTTAGAAACATTGATTATGAACCTTGTCATTCCAATTCCTCGGAAACATTTCAGTAACACTACAGCACTACTGTAGAAATTCACTACTCTTAAACCATTTTTCTTCCGCCATTTAAAAAAGGTCAAGATAACTCTATGTTTGACAGACAATTCACGAAAATAATTGTTATTTTTCGACTCTTCAGTTATTTTGTAACTTCGTCTTCACTAAACAGTAATCTTTGCAAGCTTTATAAACACTACTCTTTCAACAAACCATTCAAATTCTAAGTCAAAATGTTCTAATTTTTATGAAGATTGATTATTTTTTCATTGAACTTTGGTTTAATGGTAATAAACAAACCAAAACAGTAATCTTATTAAGATTCATTTGTCATAGCTTAAACAGTGAAATTCTAATAAAATAATATAAATAAGTAGCCCACTTCTCTAGCCTAGAAATCGTTCTATCGAATGTTCACATACAATTGTTAAACTTAACTTTTGAACAGTTACACTCTGTACAAATACAAAAGTTTCACTGTCATTTTATTACATAACTTTCTTTAGTTGTTTTGTTTATGGGCTACCTATGCAATGGGCTACCTACACTCTGTCTAACATGGAGAATCGAACTCCGCATTTTAGTACCGTTTGTCTCTAAACTTGCCGATGACCCACTGGGGGTGACATGGTAACATAATCAGGTGTTAAACCTTTCATCTACGTGTTACCTTAGCCCTATCACTAGCTTCTCATTATTCTTTCATCAAAAGTCATGAAAAAGTTAACTTATACTTTAAAATCACGGCTTAAGTCTTGAGACACTCCTACTTCTACGTTTTTTGGAGTCACTCTGACTGTTACACACGTAAGCGTCAAGTAATAAAGAATAAATTGTATGTTATTCAGTCATTTCAACAGGACTGTAAAGTGCAGTCTGTATTTAAGATTTATTTAACTTTTTTTTTCAGCAACAAACTAATGGTTCAAAATAAATAAAACTAATAAAAAAATAATTATGAGGAAAAACAAAAATTGTAACACATTCAAATGTACAGTAAAAACAGAGGACGCCGCTAGGAAAAAGTACGGAAACTGGTGAAAGGGATGATTTGTCGTTAAGTAAAAAGCTGCACAATGAGCTATTGTGTTGTGCTCACCACAGGGCTCGAACTCCGGATTTAGCGCTATAAGCCTTCCACTGAGCGATAGGGCAGAGCACAGTAATGTAGTGATGCTTATGGGAGGTGTGTGGGGGGGGGGGGGAATGCGTAGTGTATCAAAGTTAACTTCAGTTATCTGTGCAACAAATGTAACAAATACTGATGTGCATTGAATGGTTGTACATCCAGATTTTTATGTGTAAACGTGTGCACTTCAGGCAGTCTGGACGATATCTTTCGGTAGTAGTTATTTGAGTTTGCTGGTAAGTGCCAGGATGTATAGGAGTGTGGATGGTGATGTTAGAAAAATAAATATGATGCTGAATAACCACTTCAACTGATTATTTTGCTTCTTAAAAAAATTGAATATGTTTAGTAGTAGTTAGATAATGCATAGAGTTAACGGATATGTTACACATATGGTTCACAAATACGTCTTTGGGTAATGTTACGATGAGTGAGAAGAGTAAAGTGTCCAAAATATAGTTAACAGATTGGAGAAGGAAGATTAAATCGGCAAGTTCTCGGGTAACAATAGTATTGGTTGGAGGTATACTAACAATAGTATGGTTGGAGGTATACTTAAAATATCTGATAAAGTTGGTTGAGGCCTCGTATGCGCTTTTTTCTTTTCTTTGAAAACGAAATAATCATACAGTTAATATGAATGGTTGCTACTTTTGAGTGAACATTAAAAGTACCATAGTAGAAGTTTCTGGTCCTTCGCGATTTTATGTAGTGTAATAATTTAAAGCCAAAACTATTTATTGGTCTGTAAAACTACGAATCTGAAAAATACGCTGAAATACGGTCGTAGTGGGTGACATTTCACAATAAACAAAGCTATGTATTCTCATGATCGAGTAAAGTGATCAAAGTCAGTCTTGGTGCAAGGTGAAACCAGCTACAGATTCTCATGATCGAGTAAAGTGATCAAAGTCAGTCTAGGTGCAGAATGAAACCAGCTACAGATTCTCATGATCGAGTAATGTGATCAAAGTCAGGCTTGGTGCAAAATGAAACCAGCTACAGATTCTCATGATCGAGTAATGTGATCAAAGTCAGTCTAGGTGCAGAATGAAACCAGCTACAGATTCTCATGATCGAGTAATGTGATCAAAGTCAGGCTTGGTGCAGAATGAAGCCAGCTACAGATTCTCATGATCGAGTAATGTGATCAAAGTCAGTCTTGGTGCAGAATGAAACCAGCTACAGATTCTCATGATCGAGTAATGTGATCTAAGTCAGGCTTGGTGCAGAATGAAACCAGCTACAGATTCTCATGATCGAGTAATGTGATCAAAGTTAGGCTTAGTGCAGAATGAAACCAGCTACAGATTCTCATGATCGAGTAATGTGATCAAAGTCAGGCTTGGTGCACAGATGAATCCACTGACCTTAGAGGTTTTTAAGGGTCAGCTTTAACCTGGAAGATGAATGCCGAGGTATGCCACGCAGAGAGGATATAACAGATAAGTTATTATAGACAAAAATCAACATTTGAAAAAGCATTTCTTCAGCGAGTTGAAAAAAATGAAAAGTAAGAATGTTGAGAGATAACTGGCAATGAGAGTCCAGAAGAGGACTGTAGAAAGTGTGCAGTAAATAACAGCTCAGTAGACTATGGAGGGCAGAGAATAAGGACTTAATTGTCAAAATTAAAAGAAAAACTGACAAAAAGAACAAATTTGATATCCACAAATTAAAGTCGACGAGACAAAAATGTTATAAATAATGGTTTGGTTTGTTTCGAAGACTTGCACAAAACTAAACAAGGGCTAGTTGCGTTAGTTAGCCCTAATTTTGAATTAGTCAAATGAAAAGAAAACAGCGAGTTAAAATCACCCACAGACAACTTTTTAGGCTACTACAATCGAATAGTGATGTTACATAACCACTCTTCTAACCCATTTACGATCGCAAAGAAAATCAACGCGATGCGAACCATGAATTATCTGGCCAACAGAACAGTACGTTAACCACCAGGGCACGCACGGCCCCTTATAAATAGTGAAAATAGGCCAAGGAGAAGCTAGAAAGAAACCGATCTAACGGTTACATGTACCACGTGGAAACATACACATAAAAAAAAACACGAAAAACTACGGAAAAGTACCATAACCAATTAAACCAGCAGTCTTTCCAAATCTTGTTAACCTTGTGATCCTACCTTTAAACACAGTACCTTGATTGGCAGCTCTCAGCAAATTGGACATAAACATACAAGTATTTAAAAATGACATTTAATGTCATAGATAAAGCACTGGTATTTCAAATTTTGGAAATTTTATATTAATTCCATAGATGTGGCTTTAACACATTTAAAAACTTTGTCAGTACTTTACACACTGTTACTACAATGCCTCACTAAACACTGGTTAATTTTTAAACAACCATTTCATAAACTTTTCAAAGCGCCCTCTAGCGGTAGCATTAATACTACATAACGATTATAACATTGCTTTACAATATTCTTTCAACTAACAATCAGTCAGTAGTTCGAAAAACATGGCTTTAAACTCATAATTATCCAATGAATTCAGGAAAATAAATAATATCACAATTTCATAACCATTAACAATTTTAAGCACATACGTAAATGAAAATCATGCATTTGTATAACTAATCGTTTGAAAATTAATTATAATATCATTCACCCAAACAGAATGCTTTCTCAAAATTTGTGAAGTGTTTTCTTCATTTAGATTTATCTAGTTTTCCAAGAACAATATTTTTACATTTAAGAAACACACCTACTACATTTCACGATCGAGTAAAGTTCATCAACTATTACCAAGATGCGCCATCTACATTGGATTTAACAAGGTAACTTGAAATAACACATTTTTTAAAATTTTAGTAAGAAGAGCTATCTCCAATACAATTTATAAAATATTGTTTAAGTAAACAGAAAATCTAATCTAAGGTTGCTGAAATATTTAACTTACGACAACTCAAAATACCTTGAGTTCATAGCGTTACACACAAAAGCACTAACTTCAACATACACCTAAAACTTCCAAACCACGTGACTGTTCACCGGGAACATTTTCACATGTACTGTAAAAGATGTGGATAACAACAATACGTTGTTTACACATAGATCTTCAAAGAAAAACAATGAACTTTGCTCTCTTTGCTGTCACGATACGTTTACATATCTGGATCAGTCTCTCAACTATAATTTAATTGGGAGTTAAAAAAACCCATTTGAACTTTCACGCTCAAATATTTAGACAAGCGTAGAAGATGCGTTTAAGTTTTCACTTTTGACTGACAAGCTAGAATACCCACCTCCTTTTGCTGTTTTTCTTGAACACTAATATCCCGTGGCTTCAGCTTTGTTTTTCAAATATCACTGTCTTTTACCCAACCATAAATGAAATAGATTAAACTAAACTTTCATTGTCAACTACAATCACGTCATAGCCGTGACACATTCATCCAATGATTTGCGGCCATATGACGACAAATATGGCAATGTACTTTTCCATTTATACCACACAGAAGCTAAAGCCATGAAAACGGGGTCATGAATATTACTTGAATACCTTTTTTAAATATTAAAAACATTTACATGTTGCTTAAACTACAAATAAAATCTTCCACTGAGGTAGAAAAGGAATGACTTTAGTTTATAATATGCAGTGCAAGCAGTAATAGGTTTTTAACATTTCAGAGGTTTGACACTAAGTCAAATTTACTTCTAAAACCAATAATAGCTATACTCAATAGGCTCAAACATTTGATCACAAGACAAACATTCTTGAAACTGTAACAGACAGTTTGTTGTTAAAATAGCATAACATTATAAAATGTCATATGACACACTGACATGATCAGCTAATGTTCAGACTCAAATACTCTACGTGTATGTTGTCACAATTTTTGATCTAAAACATGTCGTTGAACTAACTATTAACTTACTTGGAGTTAAGTCATTTATAAAACGAGAGATTTCCCTATAAGTAAACGCTACATAAAAGTAACAACACACTAAGTAGGCTTAGCATGAGTTAAGCCTATCCTAACTTGATAAGAAGAGTAGGAAATATCTTCTCGATAGTGTATTATTACGAAAGATTAAAAAAAAATGTTTTACATGAATTAAGCATGACTGAAGTGGGCACTGACAGCTTTATTTAATCACATTCATAGCCTGTTTGTGGTAAAGCAAACACAACTTTGTTGGTCCATGCTTTTAGCTGCATGTTACCACAAACTACTTATAATAAAATAATATAAGAGTTATTCACATTTTTTAACCAAGTCCAATTAGTCAGTTAAAATGTGTCAATGGCCCTAAGGTACATTTTCTTACTTTTATTGTCTGCTATTTTACTTTTTATGTCAGTTTTTCTAACGTGATACAGTTACCATGTTTTTGACCACAAAATCTCTACGACATTCTTGCTGTAAGCATTTCAATTTACAGTAGTGGCGGTCTACTGAGTACCTAGTTAAAAGATCTACAATTTTCTAGATAGAGCAACCTATTCACGTAAATATTATTATATAGAAATAAAGGTTGATAACAAAAGTAGAAATCGATCGTCTTATTTATAACTTTCGAGTTTCTCCCCCACTTCTATTTTAAATTTTCTGATATACCTTTCAATGACTAAGTTTCTATCTTATACTAAGTACGCACGATGCGAGGAACTTTTCGTTCTTACTTGTAGAAATGTTAGAAGTATTACACAAGTGGAAGACGAAGAGTAGAACAGAAATGGAAACTTATTGAACAAAAATAGTTATAGAATAATAAGTATTGTTTAAGTTACTGCTACAAAAGTTACAATAAGCAAAGATCAGTAGCGTAGAATCTTCAAAACGACAACAGAAATAAACAAAAAATAAATATACTATATACAACATATCACACATCTATTTACAAGATCAGACTTTAAATATATAGAATATCATACTGTGTCAAACACTAAGCTAAGCATACAAGTACATTCTGTTAGCCATAACACGTGCAATGGTAACACCAACAGTCATTACATAGGGAAACACTTTCAAAAATCGCCATCATCTATAAAATAAACCAAAACGACCAAAAGCGTAAACTTTTTGGCTTTACTTTAGAAGCAATTTGATATTTACAAGCACATATTACACGTACAATGGATAAATTAAAAATAATTTAATAGTTCCAGAATAATTACGATTATTTTTTTATTGGCGTGTCATGTAATGCTTTAGTAACGTCTGGTGGTTTGACTGTTGAGATGTCGTCTTTCTTCGGTGGATGAACCGGTATATTTTGGATATCACCTGAGAAGGTGGCCCGTGAAGCTGAATCTTTTGTTGTAGTGATGGAAACTGACGAAAATGGCGACTTCTCTGCGACAGCTGTTTTCTGGTCAACTGCACGTGGGATTACAGGTAAGTACATGGTAACGTTAATAGGTGGCAGCTTTAACTCTTCTCCTTCCTTACTTTGATGGGCAGTATCGGGTGGCACAGTGGCGTCTTCAATTAGCACAGGAAGAACTTGTTCTCGAATTCCTGTTCTTCTTTCTTTGGAGTCACAACTTAACGAAATTTTTGTTACCTGAGATGGCGTAGGTTGCTCTTCGGCTTCAAAACTATCCATACTTCTTTCAACTACTGTTTTAAGCTTTACATTAGAGCCATAAAGTTGTTGAGTATCCCCACGAATCTCACGCACAGAACCGGATCGTCCATGTTCGCCAAGGTCTTTCGAATGACTAGATGAAAATGTAACTCCAATGTTTTCATCTTGCTGTTTATCAGTAAAAGTCTCTGAGCTACCTACCATTCCGTTTGACGCTGATGACTGAGATCTATCAGTTGTAATAATGGAAACCTTCTTGGGCGAAAAGGAAGAAAGGGGAGCAGTAGGTTTTGAAACAAGGGAGGAACCAGCTGAAGTGTAGTGGTGATGGAAATTTGAGGCAGGAGTCGAGGAAAGAGCAAGAGGTGAAGAAGTGTGCCCACTAAACGACTCCCTTTTTAGTTTACCTTGTTTTAACTTGACGTCGGATGACTTGGAATGAAGTCGGTCAGGTGAAAGGGCACGTCTAAGAAGTGGAGAACCAGGCTCAGCGCTCTTTGGTCGCATGAAAATCTTTTTGCCTGAACTGGTGGGGGTTAGAGTGCTTCCAGAGGTGACTTTGTGTGATGTAGTAGCAGGATGGTGAGCCAAGGGGAAGGCCAAAGGAGAAGGTGATCGTATAGGTGAAGTTGAATGCAAAGAAGAAGGGGAAGGTGTGCGAACTAAGGGCGATAGGGGCACATGCCCCACTGATTTCCGACGAGGAGAGCGGAAAGTCTGAATCAACTTGTGTTTAAGACCATGAAGAGAGCTTGGTCGCTGGAACTGAGCAGTTCCTGCTGGAGAACCAGGGACACTAGAACTGGGAGAACTGCTTCCGGAAGAGTTTCCTGCAGAGTAGGAAGACTCGGATGTCGAACACAGTCTATTAGCCGGTGGAGATCGTGGACCTTTTCGTGTTGGGGATCCTGGGGCAATCTCGCCCCCTCTACTCAAGGACTGTAGGCTGTGGCTGGTGGTCAACATAGGAGGGGATCTAGAAACTAAATGCTGCAAGTCGGCACTAGCTCGTTTATTACTCAACCTCCTCAAAAGCGTGGCTCTCCTCTTACGATCAGATTGTGCATCTCTCTTTCCTTGGCCATAACGCTTCCGTACAACTGGCCTGCGAACCATCTTAATGGAAGACGGGTGTCTCTTACGACCTCCGGTTTTTATGGTAGTACTTTCTAACGGTATTGTACGAATAGTGATGCGGTCTCCACCTGACAAGATCAGCTGAAGAACCTGATGATGGACCAGTCCCTGAAGAGGTTCTCCATTTATATGGGTAATCAGATCACCAGGTCTCAGTCCTGACTCGAAGGCTGGCCCATTGTTATCCACGGCCTAAAAAGGAAACATGGATATTTAAGCTATAAGTGGAATTGACTAAAACAACATTTACCGAGTTATCAAAATTACATTTTACGTTTTACAAAAGAATGTATTAAAAGTTCCTGTGTTTAGAATCAAATCTTTATATTTGAGTACTAAAAGTTTGAAAAAGTAAAAGCTGGATATAATCAGCCACAACTGATGTACAAAAGCCATTTAATTGTGTGCATAAAAATGGCGTCCATATATTCAGCAACTAACATAAAAAAGACCACAAAAACCATTTCTGATAACAAAGCTACATCATATTTGAGGCATTAGAAAACAAAGACCCATAGGTTAGTATTTCAGCATTTGTAATAATGTGTTCCGTATATTATTAAAGCTCCCAAAGAACTTGCCACTTTTAACATATCCAACCACTCAGATGTCCTGCATGTTTTATAGATTTTAAAGGTTTCGTAGTAGGTTTTCCATAAATACAACAAACTGATGCCTTGTATGTCGAGAGAAGATATACTTGTAAGACATTAATGTTCTAACATTTAATAAAAGTTTAGTGTAGTACGAGTTGTGGGCTTTAGCTTTGAATCAGAAGTCATTTATCACTCTAAGTATATTAAACAGAACTCAAATATGACTTGAAAGTTAATGAAGCTAATTATATAAAACAAAATTTCCAGAAGTACATAATGACATAATACGCAACTACATCTTCGAATGCACGGACACATCAGCTGGTTAGTCTATTAACAGCAGTTTCAGCCCATAGGCGGCGGAACATTGACCTTGTTGCAAAGTGCCCCTTGGAATGGGAAACAGAGACTTGTATATAACTATCACGGAAAATCGCTTTTTCTGTTTGAATTCATAGCAAATAAGGTGCCCCCAAATTCAAGTATGTTTCAAAGTTCCCCCAAATTCAAGTATGTTTCTCCGTCTATGTTTTAGCCTTAAGTTTATTGCAAGCTGATGATTACAAAACCAAAACAAATTAAATATTATATTGTACCTTACCCTACACACCGGAATTCTCACGTTACAATTGCTGTACACAGCAAAATACGATAAGAGTGAACTGCCAGCTATCATGGAAAAACGTTCGTAAGTTTAACTTCTAATACACGCAATAAAAAATTATATAGAATGTTTTTTACAGATAGACAACTGACCAAAGTGTACCATTTATATCAGCTACGCATTCAAAATGGTACACGACAGGGTAGACTGTGAATAGTAAGAAGTTATATATGCTAAATTACAGCGTTATCTTTTGGTGGTAACACAATAATTGTACCATATTGGTTTGCTTCTAGTAAAACGTTATATCTGCTTTTGTAAATAGCTTCAACACAGCAATGAATTAACTTACAGACACCAAATGCTGAAGAGTATATACATCCGAGTCCCCAAAATACACCCTTATTGCTCGAGCTGTGAAACCAAATCCACGTGGTCCTTTGCGGATTATGATTGGTGGTTTTAGCTGTGGAACCAATGGACTCGTTTCTCTGTTAGGTGAAGTATCTCGTGAACTTGTGCTGGAACCACCGGGAGAACGAGCTACAGGCTGAGATACAGTTTCATCTGTGGGAGCTTGAAATAGAATATAAGGACAGTAATTCATCAGCCTTAGAAACCCTCAGATTTAGTAACACTAACTTGAATATCTATTAGATGATAAGAACCCTATAACCCAAGCGCTTTCAAAAGGTGGACCTCGGAACCTGTTTGTACCTGAAGAAGAAAGGTCTACTTTTCGAAAGCGCTCGCATTATAGGGTTTTTTCATCCTGTATCAAGACTTCTTGAACCTACGTGTTTTTCTGATATCATGATTAGATAGCTATTATTCAGCCTTCGGTCTTGGTAAGCTTAATTTAAGGTTATTCCTCAGTCTTAGTAGACCAAATTTAACAGTTATTCCTCAGTCTTAGTAGACCAAATTTAACAGTTATTCCTCAGCCTTAGTATCCCTAGTTTGGTCATTCTTTCTTAGTCTTAGTAACTGTAATTTGAACAGTTATTCCTCAACCTAAATATCCCTAATTTGAACAGTTATTCCTCAACCTAAATATCCCTAATTTGAACAGTTATTCCTCAACCTAAGTATCCCTAATTTGAACATTTATACGTCAGTCTTAGTAACTCTAATTTGAGCAGTTTTGCCAATTTTTAGGCAAGCGATACAAGCGAGTTTTTAATAAAATTGGAAACAATTACCGATTAAAGATAAAAAATAAATCATAATTATTTATTTTTCAATGACCACTCCAATAACATTTGGGTTGTAACTACAGTTTGTTTATGTTGATTAAATCGAATATTTCTATAAATAATAACATTAAAAATTATTAGTTTCAGTTATTTATTCACAAGTTTGCGCCAGGTATTGCACAATAACAAAAACAACCGCGCTTGGCTCTTTGGAACCGTTGAGCGTTATAAGAGTGACGGTCAAATTCCATTATTCGACTAGAGTTATCCACGAGTTGGCGGTGGGTGCTGTTGACTAGCTGCGTTCACTCTAACCTATCAGTTCAAAATTGGGGGTGGATAGCTCTTGTGTAGTTCCTGCGAATATCCACAATAAACATATAAACTTCTGTGTAAGAACTTTATATTAAATATAGGCATATGAAGTTTCGAGACAACTATTTGTGGGATAATAGATATACTTCTGTACAACGTTTCATCTCTTAATAGTGAGACATGATCAACGCTTGTACAGAAATAAACCTATTACCCAAAAATAGTTGTCTCGAAACTTCACATTCTTCGTAAGTTTAGTGTCTTAAAAATACAAAGGTATGATTGTACTTATTGTACAAGGATTCGTTAGTTTATATAATATATTCTATTGGTTCTTTCCACTCTGACGTAATCAAGTACGTTGCTAACATACCTTCCGATATTATTAATGATAATCCGGAAGCCGATGCCGATTTCGTTACCCAGCGTTCTTTCTGTCGTGTTCCTACAGGTAAAGCTGATGTTGACGGGATTGGAATATGTGGTGATACCGGAAGTGGAGTGACGTGATTCTTAAGTTTCATCCAGTCCTGTGCAATACTAGTTTCACTGCCTGGTGGTTGGGTTGGTGGTGGTTTGTGCCCAATGGAAGAAATCGAGACACCTGAAGATACTTTCCCTGTACTCACCGACAACTGAGGTAATAATTCCTTCCGCCTGAACTTTCTGTCCTCCTTCTCAGCGGGTTTATTTTTATGTTCTTTTAGTTTACGAGATGGTGAGTGTCGTGGTGACACTTGGCTAATATTTCTATATATATAAAACAAACGTTCAACGATAGAAAACATCATACTGACTTCAACTCGTATTTATACAATGTTTGAGACTCATATTAAATGTTCAACGTTCTGTTTTTGCGACAAACACCAAAATGTAAGCATAAGTAAGGGCCACACATTCGACGATAAGTTCAAGTATTTCAGCTAAAAACCTTTAAACATAACTCCGTAAAAACGATATTTCTGACAGAATATCAGAATAATAATTATTTTTTGATTCTTAAAGTTGATAACAAATCTAGTTTTTTCAAAGATCAGTCCTCATAATATTCCAAATTTAAAATCCAATCTTTGGGATTTATCACTACAAATCTAAACCTCGTAGACAACAGAGTTAACTAGAGTCACAAAATATTTCTAATAAACAGCTCTCCAAAAATCACTACAAATCTAAACCTCGTAGACAACAGAGTTAACTAGAGTCACAAAATATTTCTAATAAACAGCTCTCCCAAAATCACTACAAATCTAAACCTCGTAAACATCAGAGTTAACTAAAGTCACAAAATATTTCTGATAAACAGCTCTCCCAAAATCAAAAATTTTTCTTCGTAATAAATATACTAGCGTTTGTGATGTTCTTAACCAGTTGACTTAATTTTACCATTCTTCTAAAATATTATTGGTGACTCATCGTCCAAGTTGAATTTTTTTTACCTTTCTTCGCGTTTTCCTCCTGTGCAATATGCCTTTAGAAGTTATTAGTAATTTAATTTTTACATCAAACAACCTTTGCAATATAACTATTAACAAAATCAAAAAGTTTTGTAAAAAAAAAGCACTGTACACATTTTTTGAAGAAGATAAGTTAAAAACAACTGATTAAACATATACACATATATAATATCACAGTCTTGTAACAAAAAATACGGATATGTAACACTTGCTCTAAAAACTACTACGAAAACATCCCACGTGCAAATTCAGGATGTTAAGGATGACAAAGTCTCAGCAAGCAAAACCAAATAACTTCCTGAATGTGATTAAAATATCGAAAAGAAAAGGCTACTTGTCGCAAAAAATATAACACTAAATTATATCAATGTTCATCTTGCTACATCGTATACGAATTGTTTCATGATTTCAGTTTTCCTTATATTACAGCCACCTTATGTAATCAGGTCCTTCTACACCAACTTAAGACCTTGAACTAGTGTGCACAGAGTTTGTGAAGTTATTAGCAGCTGAAATCTGGACATTATGTTTTAGAACGTGAAATATCAGAACCTTAACCAAGCTTCTCAAGAGGAAGGGTTCGTTTTGAGTTACCCAAGACAAATATAGAATTATTTTTAATCAGATTAAAATAATAAATTTTCGAGAATCTATAAACACAGTTAATGTGCTGTTGTACTGGAAAAAAATTATAATTTCTTCAAAAGATTTCACATGGTACAGTTTAGCTTAAAAATCAACTAAAAGCATGCAGTGGGATTAGCATGGTAGTTTACTGGCTGCAGGCTTAAACACGTGTTAAAACAATTGATTAATCTCCTCATATCATGGTCTGGCGAGAACAAATATGTACTTACAAGTCAGGAGTTGAGGCACTTTTTCTGTTAGCAGCCTCACCAGAGGAAGAACTTCCTGTTTCGGCGTTTTCCGATTGGTTTAGGTCAGTGTTGCTTCCGGTTTTGCGAGCGCTTTCTTCTTTGGCTAACTACAAACCGCAAAAATTGTATTTCAGTGCGTTAGATTGATAATAATTAATTACTATTATAGATGTAGTCGTTAAAACATATTCTCCTATATTTTATGGCCTAAATCTGCATAAATACCAAATGCAATTTGAAGAATTTAAAAAAATATAATTCACAACATATAAAAATGTAAGTTTTAAGTGATAAATAATTACACAGAGTTTACTGTATTGATTTGCGAATTTTCTTTAAACAGTGAATGGAATAACTAGGGTTATCCTGATAATTAATGAATATCTAATAAACAAATGTAAAACGCGCAATATCGTTTATCATATATACATCATGATAGTCTGCGCATTTTTATAAACGTAAGTAAACCTACTAATTACATGTTATGGGCACCATTTCGATTGTGCTCATTACACGTTGACGTATAGACAATGGACCTGTCACGGTAAGTTTCTCAACCTCCATTGCAGAGAATTGCAAGAACGACTCACGAGAAACTTCATATTCTGTATTATCAGAGAATTAATTACACATATCAGTCACGAGAAAGCTTCTTATTCTACATTGGATAAAAGATCACTAGAGTATGACCTTGAATTTGAGATAAGACGACATAACTACAGAGGATTGAGTACGTTATATGTAAATGATTTTAAACACATATCAGCAAGTTAAGAGACAACCACAGCCGATATAAAGTCAAGTAGAACGGAATGTATCTGAACTACATTTTGACATTGTTTGTCGTTTCGTAAATAGTGTGATGTCACCAAAAATTAATCGCCTTTTTATGAAACAGTCATATCCGGCGTAAAATATGTGTTTAGATCAGAGTTTAGAATTACCAAGACGGTGATATCCCTTGTACTTAATGGTAATAGAATATAAGTGAATATGGATCATATTGGGCTTCCAGAACCATCCAGTCAGAGACCTGCAAACAGTGATAACCTCAGTTGTAGTAAGAATCCACGAACACAAAGATCAGTGGCAAAAGACGTCTATGTGTCTCAGGCAACAGTACGTAGCATAATAAGAAATGATCTCTGTCTAGAAGAGCAACACACGTCACGTGTACAGCAGTTGCTTCCACAGAATAATTGTTCAACCATCGTAAGTCTCGAGCAGCTGGAGAATGAAGTTCGTATTCATTCTATACTATACTACGACATTCGTAGAGTCTATGGATTTCAGTGCAGTCGGACTGTTGAAATGAGTGCTGTGAAGGCATTATTCTCGTACATTAAATGTTTTATGGAAAGCTACAGGGAAGGGGAGTGTGATTTGATCATGACAACCTTACGACGGAGCATTTTACAATTGAAGTTATACTGCCTGCAAAATGCACGGTCATCAGATAGAGCATGACTGGACGTGTGGGCATAGACTGTAACGACCCTGAGAGGATCCAAAATCGTTTTAATATAGCGTACTCAACCTCTGTAGTTTATAAATGGCTACCAATGAATTTATTCAAATTAAATTCACCAGTATACTGGATAAAGAAATGATAAGAAAGATAAACCAACTGACCTTAAAATATCTCTCGTTTATTCTGCTCTTAATGAAAACGAGCAACAATTAAACTTAAATGTGGTTCAAAATCTTAGTACTCGATATAGTTTAATTCAAAATGATGGAGTATACATGAATATCTTACTTTCAACAAGTTCTCTTCATCCAACTCCTTCTCTAAACAGGAGTAAACTCTCCTGAACTGTGGGGAACAAGAAGAGAAACTACTAAACAAAGAACTCTCATCAGTGTCATCCAGCTCTTCTGATTCCTCCATTTCGTGATTGTACCTGTCAGCTCGTGCTGTAGTAGTAAGTGAAAGAGTTAGTCTTTTGAATATTATTTTATTTGTTGTTCTTTTAAGAAAATGCATTGAATGTTTCCGCTCTTAGCTTTCGAGCAACGATTTTTGCTTTTGTTAGAAAAATTTGAAAGCCAAAAAACTTCACAGACATCTTATACAAGAAAGTAGTCTGGATAATTTTGAGAGAAGGTATAATATCTATTGATATTTTTAAAGGTTAAACTAAATGTACTTTATATCAGAAAGAGAGGGAAATTAAGACCACTTATGATATCGCTTATGATTAAAGACGAAGTAATTAAAAATCCGCTCGTCCATTTAACAATGATGTTCTTTATTGTACCTCTCGGGTCATCGGGTTTAAGAAAGACAATATTTGTTGAACTTATTAGCTTACTGGTTTTAAATTATCTTTGTTGAACTTATCAGCTTATTAGTTTTCAATTATCTTTGTTGTACCTATCAGCTTATTTGTTTCAGAAATTATATTTATTATATTTTCCTTTGAGAAAGAACTCAGTATGAAGAAGCACATCAAGTTTCTACACAAAACTTAAATTCGTATAACTTCAGTACTTCTTCGATAGATGCTAGAACCGTGAACTTGATCTCCCTCTAACCACTTTGTGGCCATGAAAGTGTTAGGATCAAACCAAGTGTGTTTTATACCAATAAATGCAGTATGGTTTAAGACAACTATGCTATACGCTGTGTATTTCTACTTATCAAAACAGCTGCACAACTTGGTAATTTTATTCATGCTCCAAATAAGGAGCGAATGGAGGGAAACTCCCTAAATATTAATTATTTTACCCCTTGTTAATAAAATCATACGCATGAAGGAATGTTTTAAGGGTGAAACTTCACTGACTCACTTAGCTTCAATGAAGGCACATGTATGTAAGTTACCATCGTACTGATTGTTCTTATGGCGGATATTATATCCTTCAACCATTGGTAATAATGATTTCACATTTTCCTGAATTTCTGGTTTATTCAAAGCTATTATTAAATCTTAGTTTTGACTTAATTAGTGTCTGATTATAGTAAGGCAATTATATTCACGGTATACACACACACGTGTATATATTTATATATAAATGGTAGACGGTGTATCCCCATCGCAATGTTCTGCAGTCAGTTCCAAAACCTAAGGCAAATCTTATATCCCACATTATAGTCTATGCTTTGGTGATCCTTTTAATTTTTGTTAGTCGTTAAGGGCTTGTTTTTATAATTAAAATGTATTTTTATCATAAGTTTGAGCTTGCTGTTTTCAACGCAGTCCTTCCTTTCGATGTTGATATTAATTTAACTGTTAAAAAAAATGTTTTTACAAATATATACATGAGGTTACATTTCTTTCATTATATTGCTAAGTACTTACAATTTGAGCACTGATTTTATATACATTTTAATAGTTATCTTTTTCGTTATTAACATGTACGATAGATACCAAAAAATAACTAAATTATAAAGTTCTTATTATTTTTTATTATTGTATTAAAGAAAATCACGTTTTTATATCAACAAAGAAATTAATTAGTAGCACACATGAGTACCTATTTAATACAAACACATAATGTGACAGTATTAAGTAAGTGCGTACATACATTAACACTATCTGGGGAGACCTTATCGAATATACTCTTTTTTTCTTCTTAAGACTATTTTTTCGTATTTAGCGTACATAAGATACGTAAATGATAGGTATATATATATATATATATCATTCTTCAATACCGTATTATTATTATTATTCTATACCAATTAAATAATATATGTATATCGTTCTTCAATATCAACTAAATGATAGGTGCATTTCCATTCTTCTATACCAATTAAATAATCTATGTATATCGTTCTTTAATATTAACTAAATGATAGGTGTATGTCATTCTTCTATACCAATTAAATAATATATATGTATATCGTTCTTTAATATTAACTAAATGATAGGTGTATGTCATTCTTCTATACCAATTAAATAATCTATGTATATCGTTCTTCAATATTAACTAAATGATAAGTGTATGTCATTCTTCAATACCAATTAAATAATATATGTATATCGTTCTTCAATATTAACTAAATGATAGGTGCATTTCCATTCTTTTATACCAATTAAATAATCTATGTATATCGTTCTTCAATATTAACTAAATGATAGGTGTATGTCATTCTTCTATACCAATTAAATAATATACGTATGTCGTTCTTCAATATTAACTAAATGATAGGTGTATGTCATTCTTCAATACCAATTAAATAATATATGTATATCATTCTTCAATACCGTATTATCATTCTTCTATACAAATTAAATAATCTATGTATATCGTTCTTCAATATTAACTAAATGATAAGTGTATGTCATTCTTCAATACCAATTAAATAATCTATGTATATCGTTCTTCAATATTAACTAAATGATAAGTGTATATCATTCTTCTATACAAATTAAATAATCTATGTATATCGTTCTTCAATATTAACTAAATGATAAGTGTATGTCATTCTTCAATACCAATTAAATAATATATGTATATCGTTCTTCAATATTAACTAAATGATAGGTGTATTTCCGTTCTTCTATACCAATTAAATAATATATATGTATATCGTTCTTCAATATTAACTAAATGATAAGTGTACGTCATTCTTCAATACCAATTATTGTGTAGGACAAATTCATTTTCATCCTTAAACCTTGTTCCTCATTATGAATTCCATTTCAGTTTTTCTTAAATAAAGGAGCCAATTACAGGTGGTTTAGTTACCTTAAATAATACGAAGACATCAGCAATGAATGTATAGAATTTATTTGTCCACTTTGTGGGCAGGAAGGATCTACACAAACTTCACATTTTACTACTTGAGTATTCTAGACATTTGTGCATTAAAGGCTTAACAGCGAAGTCAAGGGTACCTCATCATTTAACCTCAGGATAACATCTACGGGCACGTACTGAATTATTAAGCTGTATACTTTCTATCCTGGGTGTTTCGACTATTTCTTTGAAAGCACTAACTATTTGACCACAAAAATCAGTCACTGGAATGACATTATGCTAGAACATTAGTCACATGTTAAAGAAAATGGTGTTCTTTTAATAACAATGAAACAGTCTCTTAAAATATGCGTATCAGTCGTGACGAAAAAACCTTTTGACAAATACGAAGTTAATATATTAAACTAATTTTCTTATTTCCCCAATATAATAAAATCATCTCTCGCATGTACTATATTAATTGTGAAAGAATATTGTATAAATGTGACCAATACAAAGTATCATCTTTCACACTTACTATCAAAGTAACTCGTGTCTTCCTCGTGATCAAGTTGAGGCACGAACTCTGCTTTCTGACGAAGAAGGGACTCCCAGTCCATACTGACGAAGAAAGGATGTTCTTTAACTTCATGGGCGCCTCCAGTTCCTAAGCGATCGATAGGATGTTGACGGAGAAGCTGAGTGATGAGGTCTTTGGCATCTTCCGGAACATTCCATTCCTCCTCATCCGGCCATTCGACTTCGTCTACACAGTAGATAAAAAAAGAAAAATTTTAAATTGCAAGGCAATTTTAAATTTTGTTTTTATATTTTAAAAGATAATTAAATAACTTAAAGGACTTGTTTGTAATTTTTAATAGGTACTAACGGCAAAGTTGTAATTTCATTTAATAGGCGAAGTGTAATGCAAAGAAAACCGCATTACAGGGGTAAATTGGGTGGCGAGAAAGTAACGTGAGGTATTATAAATTGAAATTAGCATTTTACACAATTTAAAAATGTGATCTCATAATTTTTGGATTAATTTTATCATGTAAACAAATTTTAATCTTATTGAGAAAATTATTAAATAAAAACCAACATGTTTCAAGTATGTTGATTTCTCGAACCAACTGTAAAAAATGAGTTATTTATTTTTAATGTTACATTGCTCTTCTAATACAAAACAAAGAAGAGTAAACGAAGATTTTGTTCCCATAATTCATCTCACACAAACCTTAAGGATGTATTTAAAACCTACACAACTTTTATAGGACCTACTTCGCTTACATACCTAGAACATTACTTGTTCACATGAAAAACACATCACAAACGAGGTAAAGCATTTGATGAAGAGTGTTGAAAAAGGAAGACTGATGAGTTAGTATACACAGATTTCCTTACCGTTGATCACATGTGCAAATAATTTCTCAGGAGTTTCACCAAAGAAAGGAACACAGCCAATTAAAAATTCGTAAAGAACGATTCCCATAGACCACCAGTCCACCGGTTTTCCTAATCAAATATAACAAGCGATAATAATTCAATTTAACAAAGTCCTTATATATATATATATATATATATATATATAGTAATTAGTTGTAGTAGTTACTTATAGTTACTTTACTATCTCAGTAGTAAAAGTAAAAAAGTATGTTTCTAGCATTCTACGGTTAGTAAATAATTGTCACTGCGCCATCTATT